GTTAAATAAAATATTAAAATTAATTTTGCCTTTTTTTTTTTTCACTTTTTCAATGTGGTTACTAGAAAATTTAAAATTACATGTGTGGCCTTGGCTGGTGTGGCTCAGTTGGTTGGAGTGTCATCCCGTAAACTGAAAGATCATGGGTTCTATTACCAGTCCTGGCACATTCCTGGGTTGTGGGTTCTGTCCCCGGTCAGGGCATGATCAGGTAGCATACAAGATATGAGAGGCAACTGTTAGATGTTTCTCTTTCACGAGGATGTTTCTCTCCCTCTCTCCCTCCCTCCCTCCCTCCCTCCCTCCTTCTCTCTCTAAAATCAGTAAGCATGCCCTCAGGTAAAAATTTTAAAAAATTTGCATGTGTGGTACACATTATATGCCCATTGAATAGTGCCAGTCTAAACAATTGTAGATAAAAAGTTATAGCCTCCAGGAATGGAAATCTTACTACTCATTTCAATGATCAGATCCATTTCATTCAATTCAGCAAATACTTACTGACAAGGGGACTGTGTTTGCTGAGTGTGAGGACCGCCTATGTAGGAGTAATTGTGAGGACCTCAATTACTACTGAGCAGAAGGGATATAGTAATAAGCCTAGTCTATAGCACCACACAAAGAGTCACAGGTAAGGAAAAGTGAAGTGTCGCCGGGCTTAAAAAGAGACACCAGCATATCAGGTGGCTGCCATGGAGGAAGTGAGAGAGAGAAGGGCTTTGAGAAAAAGGTGGCCAGTGAGGAACAGCGAGGATTTGGGCCAGAAAAGAGGACACAGAATGCTGTGCGAAGAACTTTGGCTTAGCAGTCCCTACTTCCTCAGGTTCCTCTTCGCCTGATCCCCCATTCTCTAGGGCCCTGACTTTGGCCCCTGCTCTTCGCAGGCCTCGTAGCTTCCTGGGAGGCCCCATGTGTACCCATGGCTTCAAATGCCCGTGTCTACATTGACAACATTCAAATCTCCATTCCCAACACATTTCTCTCTTGACCCCTGGGTCCATACATTCAACGCCCACCAACGTCTCTGTGTAGATTGTAGATGTTTCTCAGATACTTCAGACTACATTGACTTCTCAGCTGAACTGATCCTCTCCTCCCCACCCTAAACGCTGGACCTTTCTATCCTTTTCTGGAGGAAGTGACAGGACTAGTAACCCAGTTGTCCAAGTCAAGACCCTGGACATCATCCTCAACTCTTCCCTTGTATTGCAAGACCTACATAACAACCAGCTCCAAAGTCCTGTGGAGTTTTCCTCCTTAATATTTCTCCCATCTGACGCTGTCTGTGCATGCCCACTACCAACTACTTGGTCCAGGCTGTCACCATGCCTCACCTGAATTACACCAAAGCATCCTCACTGTTCTTGCTGCTTCCTGAGTGGCCTCTCAAGCCATCCTTCATCCTACTGTCAGGGCAATCTCACTATAACTGAAAACTGCTCCTTTAACAGCTCCATGCAGCTTTCAGGGGGAAGTCCAAATTCCTGAACTTAGTACGTACGGTGGAACTTTATAATCTACCCAGCCCACCTACCCAGTTCATCTGCCTCCCCCCCACATGCAAATACTTCTGCACATTCTGTTTCCTTTGCTTGGGACACCCTTCCCACTTTCTTAAAAAATTTTTTTCAATTGTGGTAAAAAAAAATATAACCTGACATTTACCATTCTAATCTGGTTTTCTTTGTGTAGGTCATTTCTACTTATCTTTCAAATTCAGCTCTGTGCGACCTCTTCTGAAATCCTTTTCTGAGTCCTCAGCCTGGTTAGGGAACCTTCTTCTGTGCTTTCAATATCTTAGCTCTCATCACACTGTACTCCGTGTTTGCTTATGTCTCTTTTTACAGACTCCCTAAGACATTGTCTGTCTTATTTAACTTTGCATCCCCAGGGCAGCAGTGCACAGTTGTCCAGGCCATGCACTGTACTAGGATGCCTGGTTGAGGGAGTGAGTAGGGGATGAAGACCATTGGCCAATTATTTACCTGGTCCTGAACTATATCCTGGCTTTTTTCTATTCGCATAAATGTTCCATGGGTAACATCAATGGGCCCTATGTAATGCCAGTGCTTGTTATAGAGTTGACACGTAGTATTATAGTAGATGCTCATTAAACAGCTGAGTAAAGACAGATGGATATTCTAGGCAAAGGTACCAGGGGAAGGTGTGGTGGGGAAACGGGAGTAATGGGACAGTATTGCATGATCAGGATTGGATTGCGGGTTTGGAGGCAGTTTGTGGACAGTCCCTTATGTTGGGCTGAGGGGCTAAACTCTTAGTTCAGGAACCTTCAAGAATTTTTGAGGGAATATTATGACTTAGAATCACAAAATATTCAGGCTTGAAAGTGAAGACTCAGAGAAGTAACTTGTTCAAGGTCACACAGGAAGTTAGTGACCAAACTGGGGCTTAAACCGGTTTGTCTTTTCTTTTTTTTAAAAAAAAAGATCTAAATGGGCTTTATTGAGTGATTCGTGAATTGGGCAGCATCCCCTCTAGCAACTAGAAGGGCACTCCCTTGAACTGGCTTTTCTTGCCCTTAGCTCTGTGTGGCTATTCTCCCACACTGCTCTCTGCGAAAGCTTCCCTGAACTGAGGCTGAGCCCTGAGAGTCTCCAAGCCAAATCTTGTCAGCCTTCCCAATGCAGGAGGCTGTGAGGGTGGCTAGGAGGGTAAGCCTGGCTGACTACAGGTGAGATTAGGAAGGAGACCACTGCAATCAGTGCTGAGCTTCTCTCATGGTGCACCCCTGGGTCTGTCTTCAGAATATCTGCCTACTTCAAGTTAGGTAAATTACCCGCCCATTAGCTTTCTGTTCTTCACACAGGGCAAGTGCTCTGGTTTTTTAAGTCTTTTTATTATGAGCTATTTCCCACCTTATACTTCTTCTGGTTGCTTTTCTTTGGGACCTGGGGAGATTTTTCAAATTCTTTCATAATTACTTTCTGCCTCCAGCTGAAGGGGCCTTGCCCACAGCAGGTCTTATGAAGTATGTGTTCAGTTAGTTGAATCAAACGTGGAGACTGACCTGACCCCAATGGTCCCCCCAAAGGCTTGCCTCCTGGGAGGATTCTCGGTGCCGAGTCTCACCCCTCTGGGGCCACGTTTCTCATTTATCGTTTCTTGTGTTCATTTTATGGTCTTCTGTGACCCTGGCGTCTCCTTCCAGCTTATTCTTCCCAAGCCCCTGCCTAGCTCTCCTCATCTGGTTTCTCTGTAGCTCACTTCTGTATTTGGAATGATTTTATCCTTTTCCATTTTCAACTTCTGTCAGAGTCAGAGCCATTTCTCTACTTTTTCAGAGGGATTTGACTTTTCAACCTTCATTCCGGTTACAGGAGCTCTGTCTTTTGGCACATGTGATTCCAATGATAACGATAAGATTATCTCAGTTACCAAATGTGTACTCTGCTCCAGACATTGTACTTGCTGATTTTATAAAAAGTAGCCCACTTAATCCTCATCACAATCCCATGGGATAGAGCAATTATTAGCCCATTTTATAGATGAGTAAAACAGAGGCAACCAAGATTGAGGAACTTGTCCAAAGTCACCCAGCTGAGATTTGTACATAGGCAATTCTGGGGCTTGTGCTTACTTCAGGACACCTGGTGTTACCTCAACAAACAATCGTCAGGTGCTTTCCAAGGTCGCCAACTAGAGGGAGACTTACCCCCCGTGGCCCAGCACAACCGCCATTGTCACTTTCAGGCTGGATCTTCCCTAACCAGCTACATCCTCCTACAGGATGGGCCTGAGATCCTAATGATCAGAAGAGAGTAAAGCTAGGCCGCGAGGCCCACTGGCATGATGGGGAACTCCTCTCCTCTTGAGAGCTGTGGCTAAACCTTTCCACTCTATCACAAGGCTCTTTGCTTGATCTGGCATAATTAGCTCTTTACAAAATCATCATAATTTCCAGTGTGCAGTGACAAACCAGTTGATGCTTGGTTTTAGTCCACAGCTTTTCTAGGTCTGAACTTAAATGTAATTAACTATCACTAATAAACAGAACGTTTTTTCTTTTTAAATATATAAATCAGACTCCACAATGACCCCTGAAAGATAAAGCTAGGGGCTCTGTTAGAAGCCCATAGTCAAGTGGTCCAAGTGGGGTCCCTCAGCATTTGAAGACACAGGCAGCAGGCATACCTTGTTTAGCTGTGCTTTGCTTCACTGTGCGTCACGAACTTTGCATTTTGTACAAATTGAAGGCAGGCTCCTCCACCATCAAAAAGATTATACCTTGCTTTGTTGTGATACTTCCTTCATTGCCATGGTCTGGCACCCACAATATGCCTGAGGTCTGCCTGTATTCATCTTCTACTTCCTGTCCTTGTTTTCACTTTGGTTTCCTATCTGTCCCTTCCACAGGTAACCTTTTCTGACTTTTTGGTGAAGACTGAGATTAAAAAAACGAATTAAAAGCCTCTGATTTTTCATAGTCACCTGCAACCAGTTCTGTCCCACCCCATCAAAGGGGCGCCATTGTCTTTGGATTTGCTCTTTCCCCTCCGTGGTCAGCTCCCAATCACCTGCCTCTGCTGGCAACTATTCCGAGGAGCGGAGACTCTGATGCTCACAGGAGGGCGGCTTTGCAGGGGGCCAGCCCCCCAGGACTGCAGGGCCTGGCCTCGCTCCCTGCTGAGCAGACCGACTGTGCTTTTGATTATTCACACCAATGCTTCTTTTCACTGGGGCAGAAAATTGAGAGGTGACTGTATCACTGAGGAATATTTCCCCATTACCCTTTTCTTAGACACAACTTGGCTCAGCTCTTAGGAGCAGAAAAAAATTCTCCTGTCATGCATATGGCACTTTAAGGTCCTGTGTTCCCTCCAGTGTTTTGGTTCCTCACCCCATCGTTTGGGTGTTCTGTCCCTGCCCCTTCTTAGACACGATGCCCAGGACCTAAGCCAGAGGGTAAACACTGCTTCCTGTGGTGCCAGGGGCAAGCAGCGAGGACAGACAGCTGCTGGCTGCCATCACCGGACACTTACCATGGTTTGTCCCTTGATCCTTTTGCAGAAAAGACTGTGTGCTGTTTGCTGCTGGAGGTAAGTAGATTGTCTTTGGGCGTTTTGAATGGCTTTGAGGTGCTGCTGGCAGAGTTATGGCCGCTGAGACAGGCTTTTGCTTTCACCTGTACTAGTGATGTCCTGGAATTGGAGGGCGGAGACGCTGGAGAGGGAGAAGGTCTGCACATTGAAGCGTGTCTTCTCTCTGCAGAGGGAGAAAGGATAGAACTCAGCACATCATCTGTGGCAAGTGAGTCTCTCACGCACTCACGCCACGCTCACATACAACGGGCAAAGAGAAAGTGCTTATCTTGCAATGTCTGCCTCCCTGAAGCCTCAGCTCTGACTACTATCTGTCTTTTTTCTTTTCCCTGAGTGAGAAATTGCTTTTACTTAACTTCTTTATTATAACTTTAAAAATGATGTTTCCACAAATACCAGTGGAAACTCCAATCAGTAACTTAACATGAAAATGCACTTATTTAAACCTCTTTTCTTTGCCTACTGACTACCATGTGTCTTGACACCCGCTCTTCTCCCACTAACTAGCAATGATGGAATTCTGAATTTCTGTATCAAATGGCATGCTAAACCAACCCAGGCTTTCAGAGGAAGCATTTACCAGGCCTTCTTTCTGCGAAACGACCTCCACAGGACTAGCAGAGGGGACACCAGATGTCCCCTGAACACAGTGGGATAACTGTATACCCAAAGTGATCTCCAGGCAGCTACACAGAGATGACAAGGTCGCTCAGTGCAGTGGGCAGGGCAGAACTCTCAAGAGAATAAATAGGAAATTCTTGAACTGGACCAGCAGCAGGATCACTATGGTCAGAAAGACAGCAAGGGCTGAATGAAAAAGTCTTTGAGAGCCAGGAGTGGCCCGGCATCTGTCCACATGTCAGCAGTGGCCTCTCCATGGCTCACTGAGGTCCGGGGTTACAACTGTTAAGCCAGGACATGCAGGAGGACATCAATGTTTGGGGCAGAATCCACAGATGAGAGTAGGAACAGCTTCCTGAGGTGCAAGAGAAAATACCAGAGCTCTGGGCAGACATGCCTCCCTTGTTCACACTCAGTCAACCTTGTGGTCTGGACTCAATGGGTAGGATGAAGACACCTGACCAGGACAGCAGGTGCATGAAGTAAAAGTTCTACTGTCCACTCATTGTCATGGTTCTTAATTAGGCTAAGAGATTTGATCAAAGGACCCTGTCCCAGAAGAATGCACATTTATGCACGCCCAACTTCGTACACCACTGCAGGAAGGAATCCTGGACCCCCAAAACACAAAGGCTCTAGAATCCTAAGTCCTCTCTGGCCCTCTTGTGCCTACTACAGGGCGCCCCATATAGTCAGTGCTTAATAATATGTGTTTAATAAATAAATGAAATGATAAAAAATGTCCTAAAGGGAAGAACTAGAGAGCACAAGTCAGGAAATCTGGGTTGAACATGATATGAAGAGGGTGGGAGGCAAAGATGGCAGACCACATTCTCCCTCCACCTCCAAGCTGAGTCTCAGGCTTTTCTCAACAGTGAGACATTTCTGGCTGCTGTTCCAGGCACTCGATCTAGGAGAAGAAAGCCAGACTAACTTGGCTATCTGAAATGGAACTGTGGAGTTTCTCTGTGTTCCCTTGTACCAATGCCTACCAGGTTGTCTCCAAGCGGACTGACTCCAGTCCTCTGATGAAGTAGGAATTGGGGGCAGGGGGATAGTGGATTTTTGAGGATCATGTGATTGCTGGGTATTTTTGCCAGACCAGCGTTAATATGTGGCCTACACTGAATAACTTTACAGGTAATTTTTCTTCATTGAATCAGACTAGACCGTGCATACATGCTTGGTTTCCAGAGCCATCCTTTTGAAGGTTTTGAAAACCAAGAGCTAGTTCCAGGGCCTCTGTTTTGATATAGCAGAAAGAACTGAGGGTTGGGAGCCCAGAGATCTAGGCTCCAGCTCCACCCATACCACATTAGTAGGCTTAGGGCCTAGAGTTCACCACTTAAACTTTCTCAGTTTCCATGTCTTTATCTGTAAATGAAGTGGGTCCCTAGATGGCTTCTAAGGCCCCTTTCCACTCCATTATCATAAATATAAGGCATACTTACATCTGCTCCTTCTCTTCTCATCCCTCATGATTCCTGAATTTACAGCACTAATTACAGCTGAAGTACTGAAATATTTTACTCGGGCAGATCTTCCTTGGAGGAATTCAGCCTTCGTAAAATTGCACTGGCCTTTACAAGCCCTGTGAGACAGGCAGGAAGCGGCCAGGCATCTCTACCCTCCTCACGCCTGACTGGCTGGAGAAGACCCAGAAAGGCGAGGTGACTGGCCAAGGTCAGGGCCAAAGGCTACACAAAGAATGGGGCCTAACCACTTCTCAGGAAGGCAGGAAATGAGGGGTACTGTGACCGAGATTTGGAACCAGGAAACTAGCAAGTACAGGAATTATAATCACCAAAGGTTAGAACTGGATTTTAAAAGTTAGCTCATCCCACCTCCTTGCTGACTGATGAGGTTATCAGTTTGAGAGGTTCTCTGTTACCAGCTTGCAGGGCAAAAGTAGTTGGAGGGAATACTGAGACTAGAACCAAGTTGTCTCACTTCAAATCTTTCTGCCCTTCAGAAATGTTTTGCTTAGCAATTTCTTTTTTGGCAGAGGTTTCCAAAACTAAAAAAAGACTTTGCTTTTTACCACTACTGTTTTGGATTTTTCTGCAGCCTTCCTTCACTCATTTGCTATCACTTGCTCAAACTGGCTAGAGGAGGTTGGGGAGAAGGATGTGCAGAAATATTCCTCAGTTCTGCTGGGGAGACAAGCTTTGATAACAAAGAGAAACTTTATTTTGCTAAACTAAGAGTTAAAAATAATACAAATAAACAAAGATAAATCACAAGGAAGGATGCCACTAAGGACAAAATGAATGGGCCAGACCAACCATTCTAAAATCATCTTCCTAGAGAATTCTGGTTAGCGATCCTGCAGCTAACCTCACAAAAAATTAAATCAATGAAAGCTTTTTTCTTGGTTTTATATTTTAGTTCCACAAATGACTAACTGAAAGAACAAGTTGCATATGAGAGACTATTTATCAAAACTTGAAGATAGCCTTTTACCCTCAATTTTTTTGTGTGTGACTTCATATTATAACAAACAGATTAAAAAAGTATTCACTACTTGTGAAACTGTCCCATGTTGTTCAGACTGAATTAAATCTACCACTATTTCAAGATATCTCATGAAGAGACCTGTACCTCTGTCCACTGAGCTTCACAGAGACCTATCTGGACAGCCACTGGTGCCGGGGAGAGTAAAGTGGGACCATGGTCAGAGTAAGCAGAGCTTCACTCAGGAGGTGGGTTTCATCCTTCAGTCAGGTAAGCTCTGGAAAATGGGTAGAACTGGTCCCGGTCAGGCAGAGTGAGGAGGAGATCTGCTTTTTCAGAAAGATCCAATTCCTGTTCAATCTGTGTTTCCCTAGTCTGTAAGGACCTAACCATAGATTACTTACAGGGTTTTGACTTTTGGCAGAGAGGTGGGGTGGGCTGATGATAGGCTCTTAGTTTCGTTTCTTCCTTCCCCTCCCTTTCCTTTCCCTTTCTTTTCCTTCCCTCTCTCCCTCCCTCCCTCCCTTCCTTCCTTTCCCTCTCTCTCTCTTTCTCTTTCTTTGATTTAATCTTTAATTATTTTTTTCCTGGGTCTTAGTTTCTTGTTAGAAGATGTTGCTGTGCAGGTAGAATGTCTTTGAGTAAAGTGTTCCATATTTATTTTAAAATCATTCTGATACCAGCTCTCACCTACTTTGGGCTTACTCATTTCATTTTTTCCCCCCTGTTTTGGCCAAGGGAATGCCTTAGATAGATCCTTATAATTATTTAAATTTCATTTGCTCTGCCCAGAAAGACTTTATAGACATCATGTTTTTTATTCACTGTTAAAATATTTTATAGACTGAAGCAATTTTGGAGAAAAAGAGTCTGTCCCTCCAAATTTTCTCATCCTTTGTTAATGTACATAGGTGTGTTAACAAGACTGTAATCAATTGATATTTTGGGCTATTCTTTTTCAGCTGACATTATTCCATTTATACATTTCTAACTCTCATATACAGGTCACTTGAAATGGTAATACTCAATCATTGACATGCTCTAAATTACTTAGCCACTCTTTTACTCTCTACTTACTGTCTAGCTTAAAAAAAAAACAATTTATTTAAAAAGTGATTTAGGATCATTTCTTTGAGGTATAGTGAAATGTTGCAGTAGTTTATAGCTCATGCAACACATTTCTTTCCAGACCGTGTGGCAGGAAGATCAAACCAATCTATTGTGCTAATGTTGAATATGAGTACCACTTACCTAGTGAAGTGAAACATAAAATCACTGTCAGAACACCCATGCAGAATTAAGTGTCTACTATATCAAACACAACCTCAGCGAGTGCTCTGGGATCACCAACCTCTGGTCTTACCCCTTCTGTCCTTTGGCCAATAGTAAAAGTAATTTATGAAGACTTTCCTATGTGCCAGGCATGCCACTAAACACCCCATTTACCTTATAGCATTTCATTCTTGCAATACCCTAAGAGAGGTATTATTATCTATGTTCTATAGACGAGGAAACTGAGGCTCAGAGGTACGAGTTGCCCAAGGTCACAGTGCTAGGAAACATCAGACGTGGTCATGTCGTTAGAGCCTGTGGTCTTAACTCTGAGTTCTACTACCTTGAAATGCCAGAAGATGCTGCAGCTGTTGGGAGTCATCTGGAAGAGCCCGCTGCCCTCGTCCTGTGACCGGGCATTTCAGCAGTGTACCTGACTCCTCTAGGGAAAGGAAAAAAACAAGGTGTTTGGGCAGCTTTTTGGTACCAATCAGCAGACCCATGCCACAGACTAAGATCTCAACCCGAGAGTTGGGGACCCCCAAGGCCACAGAAATAAAAAACCAAGTCCTTCTACATTTTTACATTTCCACCACAGGAAGTACAGACCACAGGCTCAGCAGCTGGCTGTCCTAAGACTCTGCTGCACTATATAGACCTTAACCATCCCTGTGCGATGCCAGGGCACAATCCCGGAGACCAGCGGAGGGGGTGCTTGGGGACCCTGCTTCTCAGCATCCTAAAAATCTCATAAAGTGTGGGGAGCCCTGGTGTCTCCACAATTCTCTCCCCTTATTTTCCACAGAAACTCTACCA